TGTGCTTGCTGGCAGCTGGCAAAACCTCGGCAGGCGCTGGCGGATCCCTCCCGCGCCAGGTGACTAATGGCGAGGAAACCCGAGGGGATGAGCAGGCCCAGAGGAACACAGAGCAGGGCTCTGAGTTGCAGAAGAGGGACACCAGCTCGAGCACGGATAATGAAAAGAAGATGGAAGAGAACCAGAAGAGGACGGGTGCATCTGAACACAGCGACACGGAGAAGCACAACGGTGGCCAGGATAGCCAAGGCAACAACACGAGTTACCAAACCAACGGACAAGGCGGCGGTGCTGGTAACACGGCCGACAACCAGAGCAACAAGCCTGATAACCAGTACAACAACCAGAGCAGCAGCCCCGGTAACCAGAGCAGTGACAACCAGAACCCAGGCAGTGAAAACCAGAACAGCAGTGACAAGAACAAGGGCAGCAACCAAGGCGACAGTGGCGGGAACGAGGACAACAACAGGGACAGCAGCAAGCAGGACACCAACAGCAAGAACAGCAACAACCAGGGCCAGGCCAACAGCCAGGACAGCCACAACAACAACAGCCAGGACCAGGGCAATAACAAGGAGCAAGACAACAGCCAGGACCAGGGTAGTAACAAGGATGAGAGCAAAAACCAGGACAGGCACAACAACAACAACACCCAGGACCAGGGTAGTAACAAGGATGAGAGCAACAACCAGGACAGCGTGAATGGTGGCCAGGGCAAAAGCGGGGACAGCAACAACTCAGAGCAGAGCAACAATGGGAGCAGCAACACCAGAAGCCAGGACAACAAGCAGGACAGTAATGACAAGAACCAGAAAAACAATGAGAACAGCAACACAGAGAACCAGGGCAAGAACACAGATGGTGGCAGTGATAACCAGGCCGACAGCCAGAGTAATCAAATGGGCTCATCGAGAGAGAACGTATCACCACAATCAACTTCCTCCAATACTGAGGGCAACGTGTCTTTAGAAAATGGAGAAAGCCCCAGCGAGAAAGAGGATGGGACTAAAGAGGACAGCAAGGGTTCTTCCTTGAGTAAGGAGAGAGAGCAGAGCGTTCCGTCTCCCCCCAGGGACCAGTCGGAGAGCAGCCACTTCTTCGCCTACCTGGTGACCACGGCTATCATTGTTGCCGCCTTATACGTAGCGTATCACAACAAACGCAAGGTGAGTGGCCGTGCTCCTTACCCACGCTCTCGACGTCTCCCCTGTGGTTTGGGAGCTTCCTTTTCCTCTCGCTGCAGAGTGGGACCTGCTCGGCTGAAGAACTTTCCCCTCACCCTGACTTTTGCTTCTCGCCAGTACCCCCCACTTGCTGCATGGGTTTGGTTAACGTTAATCTGAGCCTTGGTCCCACCAGCTTTGGGAGGAGCAATGGAGGGGGGTTGTAACTAGGAATGAGGCCGCCCCATGTCCATGGGGATTCGACCCCTCCTTTAGTGTGGTTATTTTCAGCTGAAAGAGGTGAAAAGGAAAAGATGTATGAAGGTACCCTATGTTTTCTCATCAACAGTGTGTTTTCTGTAGCAGATGGCAGAAGTCTTGTCTTTAAATAGCCTTCCACAGGGGAAATGCAGCTCAAATGACATAACTGGGTTTTTTTTTTTCTTCCTGTAAAGCCGTTTTTGCGGTCGGAGAGAGAAAACGCATTCTTACTGTTTTCTGCATGTCACGCAAACCTCATTATCACCTGCTTTCCATTTTAGCTGGGTTTCTATATTGGCATTTATTTGTTTCGCGTGCTTTCTCAAGTGAAACGCCGTCACTGGGAGGAGGGAAGTGAAGCCAGTCTTTGGCCCATTAGAAAGCACCTGTGTTTGAAGTGAAAAAACCCCCATTTGGTCGCTACCGTTCCGCTCACCCGCTTCTCTCTCTCTCTCTCTCCAAAGATCATCGCTTTTGCTCTGGAAGGGAAAAGATCGAAAAGTGGTCGACGGCCCAAATCTGCTGATTATCAGAGACTGGATCAGAAGGTAAGATCCACCCGGAGTGGGTGCTGCCTCGTGCTGGGAGGAGGCTGCAGTGCTGGGTCTATATTGTAAACACGATACGTTGGCCTCTCACGTTAGAAACGGTCACAAAGACCCTACTTGGTTGGTATTGGGAAGCAAAACTGGGTCTGGCAACAGGATTTTGCACTAACACTGAAGAATGGTGGCAGAGAGGGCTAACGCAGAGCAGAATTTCATAGACTCACAGGATCGTTTGGGTTGGAAAAGCCCTTTAAGCTCCCCCAGCCCAACCGCTCCCCTACCCCTGCCATCCCACCCCCAAACCCTGG